CATGGTGCTTGAACTGCATCGTATTCTTGATGGTTGTAGATTGCGATTCGCGGTTGTGTATTGCTTGAGCAGCATGTGTCATACTGGCAAATGGGAAAGGACCATTGTAGTTGTTTCTGGGCGATGCACTAGGATTAATTACTTGCTGGTTTCCGGAAATGCCAGTGTTGCCCGCTGACGTGGACTGTGCCGATTTCGTAAGAAACGGTGGAATAGGATCACAATCCGTGGGCGCGACTACATTTGGAGAACGAAACTGAGGAGCTTTCTCTGATGATGTTCCTGAAACAGAAAGAAATTTATGTTATTCAATTCATTATGTGTGTGTGTGTGTGTGTGTGTTTAAATCTTTTATAACTTGTATAAAAACTTACCAGCTGCTATTATCTGAGCAACATTATGTAATGTCGACGAGATGCTGGTGGCATTGCTGGGACCAGGCAAAGCTGTTGAAGGGTTACTGGCAGCAACAGCTGTATTACTAGCAGCATCTCCTTGTGATTTTGCTCCGCCATCTTGCGTATTTCCAGAATGTAGTACAATTTCTTGCGCATCTCCACCGAAGCGACTGGCTATCCTTAAAGATATTACCTGCAAAAATGTATCATTTAATAATCATTCTTATTTTTACAGGAATTTTTTTTAAATATCATTAAAATTGTAATATAGTGGGTTGGGGAAAAGTCCTTTTACATATGTAAAAGGACTTTTGCCCAATTCATCATTTGTTGCGAAATTTTCGTTGCAATTATATCATTTTTAATAGAGCAAAGTTTTAGCTTTAAAAATTTGTTTTTTTTAAATTGCGAAATGATAATTTTTAATGGAATTATGCAATCAAAATGCTCCTTAACTCACGAATAATTCAGGAACAAAAAATCGTAAGAACATTAAAAATTATTTTGTAGCTTCAAGCTTTCACAATAGGTAATCAAAAATTTTTGCAATTTTTTTTTTTGAACACGTGGAAAATCCACAAAGTAAAAAGACATTTTTTCATCTTATTCATCTCGTAGTTTTTTATATGTAAAAATTGTCAAATTTTCATTTAAAAAAACTCAAAAAAATATAGTAACCTTTTAAAAGTAGAGATTTTAAGTTTTAAAACTTCTTTTTAAATTTAAATTCCGTTCATTTTTAACGAAGATATTGTAAAATTAAGGTCTTTTTATATATATGAAAAAGACTTTCTCCAACCTAATATATATATACATATATATATACACACACACACACATATGTGTATATATTTGGATTTTATAAATTATATATATATATATATATATATATATACTGTATGTGAGCGCGAGCGCGCACATATACACAAATTTATAAAATTCAATCGGATGTATAAATTACCTGATCTCCTTCGACTTGTACTGAGAGTATGCCAAGTTGTGTAAGTGTTGGAGAACCCTGAGCTGCTAACTCTCGCAGTCGCAAAGCAGCTTCTCTGGGTATCGAAAACGTTACTCTGACTGAATTCCATGGTTCTATTTTATTTACTCTCAGACCATCTCCTTTTTCTGTAAATTGTATATTGTTTGCATATTAATAATTATTAACATTAATAATGAATACTGTATGTATAACAAAGAAATAAATTATTTACTTTTACAAAGTAAGGTATTGAGATGATCAACAATAATTTCAAACTTTCGAGGGAACTCGGGATCTCCAAGATCACCCTCACAGGTTACCACCGTCTCAATCAGATCACCATCACTATCTGCCGCCATGACTGTAAAATTGATGTCTTAATAAAATTTCAGGCACAACATAATTATTTTTACAATTATAATGTTATTTTTTAAATTCTTCATTAATCTTTTTGTAATAATAATGTTAAATGCTAATAGTAATATAAAAACTAAATCTCAACGTTTTTTTTAAGAAAAATTAAAAAAAATTATGGAATGTTCACCTCATTAAAAAAATAAGTGTGTATTTTTTAATTAATTCTTTTTAAATATAACTTTTAAAATTAATTATTTGAATTTTTAAAAAATATATAATGGTATTTAATAAAATAATAATTAAATCGTAATAATCTAATATATACTAAATATTTTTTCATATTACTTAATGTAATATAAAAAAATATATAATTACACAAATTATGAATATTTATACAATAATGAAGTACATACCAACCACAAATCACATAACTACCCAGAGAGTGTAGAAACGCCTCAGGGTATTGCTGTAATATGTGTGATGATGAGTTGTCGTGTGTCAGTTGTACACCGACAGCCCCAAATCACACCAGTTCTACTAATCTTGTTTACTGTCAAACAAATTAGAGATTTGAATAATTAGACCATATAGAGAGCAAATATTAAATTATATGTTGTTACTTAACACTGTACAAGTAAATAAATTAATTAAACAACATCGCATTATATGTACGTACATTAACAAAATATGTGTGTGATAATTTGTGTAATAATGATAATTTACATATGAAAGTTTTACAGCAGCATGTGTTCACACATTAATAGGTTTGTTTTCTATGGCTAAACTGTACATAAGTGTGCATTTTTAAAACTTAAAGTGAAATAAGTATACGTTTGATTTAGCAAAACATGAGAAAGTTTTAGATAGTTGTATGACAAATGTCATAATATTAGCTTAGTATAGGCATAAAAAACAGACCTGGATTTTTACAAAATAGAAACACATAGAAATACATTTGTATCTCAAGATAAAGATACTGTAAAAGTAAAAAATTCTAATTAGATACATATAAATGCATCAAATGTATAAAGTAAATTAAAAACAATGCCAAATAAATACTCTACGTTATTTTTTCAATTGGACTTAAGACAGATATAGATTTGTTTTTTATGGCTACACTAGTAAATACTTTTGTATTTAAATAGGTTTGACAATTTGATGACAGTGAGAAGTTCTAGTACACAGCCTAGTGTAGTAATAAAAAACAAACTTCATCCCCATAACAAGTAAAAAAAAAATCTTATTCCTTGGCACATCATATGACCAGTGTGTGTATGCATGTATGTGTGTATATATACCATATACACATACATAACACATATATACATGTACACACACGTCTATACAATATCATTTTTAATATTTAATGGCAATTAATGGTATTTCGCGTTGATTTCAATTTTATAAATTTCACCGAGAAACCGAGTGTGGGGAGAAAAGTTTCCAGACGAAGATTATGTATATCATGCAGAGATAATTAATTCAATGACAATGAGAGGAGAGTGTCGTCGATCGGGAAAAGTCGTATTATTCGCCGTACAATCGATAGAGGAGGTTGGCCGCGCGAGAACAGCAAGAAAATGACAAAAACACACACGGACACATATACACGTATACGGGCGCATAAACAAAAAGTGTGAGGCCCGCTAGGCGTTACTAGGTTATAATTCGCGCTTGATTTCCGGGAGGTATGGGCACGGGGGCGATTACCGCGGGGAGTGAACGTCCGTCCGTCGGGCGTCGAGAGGGGCCCGGCCCCGCCGTCGTCCTGGCGATAGTTACGCACGCGACACGCACCCCGCGGGGACGTGGCCCGTCTGAACCGTACGTGTGTACGGGGCAATTAAAAATCCCCTGGTGCACGAGCGGTGCCGCGGGGGCACCGTGCGCGCGAGCAGCCTCGCGAAATAGGTTATAGAGCGCATTTTTTCGACTGGGCGCGAAACGCGGACGAGCGCATCGACGGGGATCGACGGTTACGCGACGCGGGACGCGCGTCCCGCGGCTCGCCGTAATGATTTTCGACGAAATACGGCATCCAGACCGTCGGGACATCGGGGGGCCACCATTTTGTCCGTCGGGGGAGGTGTACGTGAAGTGGGCTCAAGCATGCTCAAGATAGCCCGTCAAAAGTCGAGAATTATTTCCCTTCCTAGGGCCCCACGTCCGACGACGTGGACGTAATCGCAGGGCGGACGATACGCGGTCGAGCACAGAGAAGGTATCCGCGCCCGCTGACGGTCGCAGCTCGGCCAGCGAGCCTCACTCCAGTCGTCGCGCAGCGCCGATTTGATACCGTATGAACACAGGAAAATTTCAACGTTACCCCATTTCTTTCCGACACTGTCCGGGATTTCACGCGTCCGTACACCACGGAGGCACACCGCCCGGGCACTGGTCTTAACCTAAAACACACGGCGCGGACCCTACTTCACACTCGGCACACAGCGCGCGGCAGGGATCGCGAAAAAACTCGACATAATCGCTAATATAAAGAGACAAGTCATAAAACGCCATGAACAATAACAAGGTGCCGCCATTTGCAATGCGACCAACTGACATGCGCAAATCAATCGCGCGGAGCATGCTGGGTACTTTTTAGAGATCCTCGGGGCGCCATCTTGCCTAAGATGTATATACATGTTCCTTAACCTCCAATCATCGCGTCCCGATAACGACGCTCCGTCGTCACCCATCGCTTCCGGATAATCCGGATACCTCGCGTTTTATTCTATAGACGCGAGACGTCATTGAAAGCATAACTGCTACTCTCGCTATATCAATACTCGTCCTTTCCATACGAAATTTCCGCATATCCAGCGTGCAAAAATCCTACCTTTTGTACTAATCAGATAAAAAAATGTTTAAACCATCAAGGCTGTTACAAAGCTGCAATTTAAATTGAATGATAAATTTGAATACTGCATATGTATCGCTACGCATAGCCAAGCCAGAAAGTAGATATGTAAATATTACAAGAAAAATTGCAATCGTTCATTAAATAAAAGTACAAAGCTGATTGTGTAATCGACAAGATGATCTTTGCCACAAAAACATGTATTTTTTACATCATAATTATTTTATGCAATAAATACGGACATAATATTTGAAATATAAATTTAACAATTAACTAAATCGATTATGTTGATCAATATGTAGTCAACAAAAAACTTAGTATACTTAATACTATATAGAATTTATTCATTATACATAAAGATATAATACGTAATCCCAAAAAAGACTATCTTATTTTCGCTCTTTCTAAAAGCTATTTTCCTATCACATAAATTTACTTCTTTTGGGGGATGTAAGACTGCATGAGACCAGCCTCATTCATTATCTTTAGCTGTTTCTCTGCATCGTAGGTTCTGCAAAACAACAAAATTAAAAACTTATTTGTGTCTACATTTCTATCAATATAGACTAACTTCAATCTCAATGTAATTAATTCTTTATCTTTTTCTAATTCTTAGGATTAGAAAAAGATGAAAAATAAATTGAATCAAAGTTAAAGTTAATCTTCATTAGTAAAAATGAGCAAATTAGATCCATTATATAAATTAATGTTCATTAATATAATTGCTTATAGATTAATATAGTTAATGTAGATTAATTATAAAAATACATAGAAGATAAAAAATAAGTTAAACCAAGATAAAAGTTAATCTATATTAATAGAAATGAACATTAGAGACCTTAAATGTAAAGTCAAAATTATGTACAAACAGAATAGTCTTGACATTAGAATAAAATTAGAATAAGTAATGGCAGTATTTTAAAGACATTTGTACATACTTGTAAAATTCAATATATCTCTGTTTTCTCTTATCGGCAACAAGAATCTTATATGCCAGCCCTGCACTGATGCTAACTACCATCATTCCTATAAGACTCTTTTTAATTTGTACCATGAGAAGACCACGAAGTTGTGGTTTCGCTATTGGAGTAGACATCTGAAATTCATAAAACTGTTATTATAAAACTTCTTTTATTCATCCATTTATATAATATATAAATGCTACTAACTAAAATTTTTAATGTTTAGATTTAAATGATAAATATTTATGATAAACTTGATCATTTATACTACTGAATTAGTATATTAAAGGCTGCTTTATATATTTAAAAACAATAGCATAATACAATTAAATTTGATAGCGAAATAATACATGTATAATATATTCTGTCAAATAATGTTACGATGATATTATTGGGTATTTAAGTTTGTAAAACATTTATGTACTTTTACATTTAATTTTGCTGATTTTATGATAGCTTTAGTATGCACTAATATTTAATGTAATGCAAGTGACTGAATCATTGTTAAATTTAAATAATAAACATTTAGATCTCAAAATTGTAACAAAGATGTCAAAATTATGCTATTAAATTTCCCAAAATAGGTTATTTGTAGAAGCAAAGCTTATCAGCTTTTTTCATATGAATTTGTGCGAAAGATGCTTTTCGATCCTTGGAGATAATGGAAGTATTTCCGAGGCTCAGAGGAACACATACAAAAATCAGTCATGCATCGGTGACAGAAATATACAGGTTTATACGTGATTTAATCAACATGGGACTTTATGATGCACGAGATATATCTGCATTATATAACGTTTCATAAACATATATTCAGCGACTTAATTGTTTTTTTTTTAGTTTTGAGAGGAATACATTGCACAGATCGCAGGACAAAGACAAATTTTATTAGGATATATCTTGCCTTGAATAATTCTTGTTCGTGTCTGTTGCTGCCAAGCTAGACGTAATCAGAGAGAAACCTGAGAGAGGCAATGGCGGCCTTTTTCGCGTGACTGGCGAAGCCGCCGTACGCTAGCGGCACCAACATCATTTTTATAAAATGATGTGAACTACGTAACACATTTTCGACACTGTCGATACACCACGACTTTTTGGTTCGAATCTTCCCTATGTCCATGATTTTTTGGTTCGAATCTTCCCTATGTCCATGTTTATCGAACCGTTAGACAGACAAAGACAGACTATCAATCCGTCGGTGCTTGTTCCACTACAAAGAAGAAAGATTCGCGGCGGGCCGGCGCGTCGACGGTAGACACGAGCCAAGCCAGCAGAGATCTTTCCGCGATTCTTTCTCTCTCTCCCTCTCTCTCTCTCTCTCTCGCCCAGTTTTTCACATATTGCATTATTCGTCAATGATTCGGGAAGAGAAAGACTGACGATTTATGCACAGAATTTGTTGCTCAATGAATTTGTAGCCAAATTTTTCTACACATCATATACTATCAATATTCAAATTTGTTGCTAACTATGACATGAAAAACAATTAGTTTATCCCAGTCGTTCCCGCACCGTGCATTATAAGATCTTAAATCTTGATAAAAGAATTGGTTGCATGTTTTCGCTATAAAAATATTCCTCGTAATATACACCATCGAAATATGACAACATATAAATTTGTTGCTCACTCTGAAGCGTGAAAAATGATTTGTTTATACGGATCGGCGCCCGTGCCGAGAACTTTATTCTCTTAAACATTGCTCAGAGAAGTTGTCGTTCGTATGTATTTGGTATCGAAATGTTCCTCGTAACATGCACTATGGAAATATGACAACATCTGAATTTGTTGCTCACTCTGAAGCGTGAAAAATGATTTGTTTATGCGGATCGGCGCCCGTGCCGAGAACTTTATTCTCTTAAACATTGCTCAGAGAAGTTGTCGTTCGTATGTATTTGGTATCGAAATGTTCCTCGTAACATGCACTATGGAAATATGACAACATCTGAATTTGTTGCTCACTCTGAAGCGTGAAAAATGATTTGTTTATGCGGATCGGCGCCCGTGCCGAGAACTTTATTCTCTTAAACATTGCTCAGAGAAGTTGTCGTTCGTATGTATTTGGTATCGAAATGTTCCTCGTAACATGCACTATGGAAATATGACAACATCTGAATTTGTTGCTCACTCTGAAGCGTGAAAAATGATTTGTTTATGCGGATCGGCGCCCGTGCCGAGAACTTTATTCTCTTAAACATTGCTCAGAGAAGTTGTCGTTCGTATATGTATTTGGTATCGAAATGTTCCTCGTAACATGCACTATCGAAATATGATAACATCTGAATTTGTTGCTCACACTGAAGTGAGAAAAATGATTCGTTTATGCGGATCGACGCCCGTGCCGAGTACTTTATTCTCTTAAACATTGCTCATAGTCCAGTCACTTTGGAACAAAAAAGGGCATATAAATGAAGAAATTCCGACCAAGCTATAAATTGCTAAATACCTTCATTTAGGCGAGAGAAATGATGTCTGAAAAGTTCCCAACGTTAGCTTGTACGCTAAGTCTTTTATCGAGCGTACAAGGTTTGAAATTCCGGTTTTTCGCGGTTATCTTCTTTCCTATCAGTTTTACGGCCAAAGTAGGTCTATAATAAAAGAAAGATAATAGAATTCTCTATAAAATTCTCTAATGGTCGTACTTCGTACGACCAATAGTTCTCGAGATAGATTTCTTTTAAGTGACTTCTTATTTTCGAGCGTTACGTAAATTTGTTCTATCTTCGCGAATATCTCAAATTTGGATACATCTACGTGCAAAACGCACATAACAAGATCGAAAGAGTATTTAATTACCTACAAAATGGGTTTTTATTGAGTGTCGTACGATCGCTAGTTCCGGAGATATCATTTTTTAAAGGCATTTTGACTTGTGAATATTTTGAAAATGAGAATGTTTCCTCGTTAGTATATCGGTAATATCTTATATACGGCTACTCCTACGCCAAAAATAGTTATCATCAAAACGAAAGATTATTAAATTCCCTGCATTTTGGTCTTCTAATGGTTTGTATACGGCTAATATATAATTACTGAGATACAGCTGAAAAATCTTTATTATACGTGTTTCTGCGTACATTTTTGTAAATAACTTACTTCTGATTTGTCTGAGGTGAAAAATGTTTAGAAATTATGTGGAAGCTTATAAAATTGTCTTTAAAATGAGATTTTTTTGAACCTCGTCCGATGAATAGTTTCCGAGATACACCCTTTGGAAAATTCCGTAATGTACTGATTTTATGATAAAATCGGACTTTTTGTACAAACAAACATATGTAATGACGATAGAAAAATTAATATCCATATTTTTCTGTTAGTTTACATATATATGTACACGATCCTGTATCGGCGATAGTTTAAAAAATTTAATTTTTGAAAAACAGTTGCTATAAGAATGCTTGTTTTTTGAGCTTTTGGCATAAAAAGGCGATTTGCGATACCTTTTTTGTAAATATTTTAATTTCTGCATGGTACACGTAAAAAATACCTTATATAAAAATTGAAGCTTATAAAATTTCCTACAAAATGGTGGGTTGCTAATTTATACGCGATAAACGTTGACCGACATACCAGACGTTTGAAAACGGGATTTCTTTTTCCTAATTTTGTGCCTTCATTTTCATGGTCGATAATAATAGCAAAAAAAGTTTATTTGCAAAATTTTTAAGACGACGTACGTTTCTGAGCTCATAATATATGATATTTGTTTTTATTTGGCACTTGGACCATATTTTTAGGACAAATAGTATTCGAGATATACTATAGGAAAGTGGATCTGTGAAGCTAGCACGACATTCTATCGATATCAAAAAAATTACAACAGTTCCAGTAGCACTTTTCATAGTTCTACAGTTCTACCTAAAAACAAAAAATAGTTCCGCAGTTTTATTATGAAAAAACTAAAATTGAAAATATGGCGTACAAACTTCGCGAATCTGGCACGTCAGTTTTCCTCTAAAGTACGAGAAAAAAATAAATATTTGCATTTTTAGCAACAGTTCCCCATAGTTCTACTAAAAACCTACTAAGATATGCATTTTCAAAACAAAATAATAACATTTTACAATTTTTATACATTCCATATATAGAAAATGGCATAAAACTTCTAGAAAAAGTGACGTGAATCCTACTAAAAACAATCAATATAAATTTAAGGCTAATAATCCATTTTTCTTTGAGATAGGCCTGTCACGCTTTTACTAGACAGATTAAGTGCCATACATTATGATATATGTATGTACTCATGAGATATGTCATTTAGATATTTTTATATAACATTATTGAATACTTCTTCATTTTTTATACTTTTGTAATCCAAATGTAGTATATTTTTACTCTTAATATATTTAATTATTGTCTGTTAAATACAGTGGATTAGATGAGAAGTGGGTTGAAGGTTGATTAATATCTACCCAAATAACAATATGTTATCCAAAAGGTTTCTAAAAGATATCTTATTTCTGAATCTGATAACTTAGAGAAACTTCTTAAAGATCACATAAAGATAACTGAATGTTATCTAATGCGTCGTTTTTTGAGAACAGAAAGATGTCACAAAAATGATATTTAAAAGATTTCTTAAATTGGACATCTTTATGATTAACATATATATTCATATTTATGATGTCTTAAAGAAATCTGTTATATGTTAATATATAAATTTCTTTAAAAAGAGAGTTTACAGGTTATGTTTACAGGTTTGAATTAATTAATCTTGCCGTTCACTTCATCAGGGCGAGGAATGCACTGATACGTATCTATTAGCGATTTCGGCTGGGAAAATAAGTGTGCACTGGTGCATATTAAAACCGTTGTACACTGTTAATCTACCACCGCGGCAGTACACGGATATAACATATGCACGAACATGTACATTGTACACGGACTTAACATGCACCAGTGTACACTAGTGCATCCCACCCGAAATTGCTACAAGTATCACTGCACTCCTCGCCCTGATGAAGTGAATGGCAAGATTATGAATTCACAGAACGTTGGCGCGATAATCTACAAACCTTCTGGCATCTCTGAAACAGAATCTTTCCTAATAAGTAACATCAAATGAATTTCTCATAAAAGATATCATAATTATGTCTCGTTTCTGAACTGTCAAAAATCATACAACATATTGATATCTTTTATGAGAAAACAAACTAATATCATTTAGCATGACATCATAAAGATAACAATTTCAAGACATCTCTCAAATCGGATATCTTAAAGAGTTCTCTTGGTAGATTCTCTAATAAATGATTATTATGAGATATCGTTTAGACATTATTTTAAAGATAACTAAATGTTCTCTTGAAAAAGTTCTCTTAAAGTTTTCATTCTGACAAGCATGCTGTCTGTGTAATATCATTACTGAAAAAGTAAGTATTGCAATTGTGTTGAACTTTTATTAATGTTTCATAAAATTTTTATATATATGATATTACATAGAACACTGTGAGAACTAACGAGAATTGCCGTTAGAACTGATACATATAGTCAGTACGTCACTTTTTCTACAAGTATCGTGCTGGACTCAGGTATTAAAAAATTGATTAAAATTATGTAGAGGCCGGAACTCTGCTTAAAAATGATTGCGATGCATAGAACTCTGTGAGAACTAACGAGAACTACCGTTGAAACTGATAGAAATAGTCAGCACGTCACTTTTTCTAGAAGTTTTATGCCATTTTCTATATATGGGATGTATAAAAATTGTAAAATGTTATTATTTTGTTTTGAAAATGCATATCTTAGTAGGTTTTTAGTAGAACTATGGGGAACTGTTGCTAAAAATGCAAATATTTATTTTTTTCTCGTACTTTAGAGGAAAACTGACGTGCCAGATTCGCGAAGTTTGTACGCCATATTTTCAATTTTAGTTTTTTCATAATAAAACTGCGGAACTATTTTTTGTTTTTAGGTAGAACTGTAGAACTATGAAAAGTGCTACTGGAACTGTTGTAATTTTTTTGATATCGATAGAATGTCGTGCTAGCTTCACAGAT